CCCCCTTAAAGTGACTGCGAATTACGCTAGTACGAGGGAGGTTCAATAAGTGTTTGGTCTGGGTATGAAGGAATCATGGTAGAGTAATGAAATTTCGCCTACCTTTAGACAAGTTCTTTGGAACACACCATGCAACTTTTCGGGAAAATCCGACAATAATAAGGCACTAGTCAGAGTGTTCAATGAAACCATGCACAAAAACATTTCATTTGATTTTTCTTTGCTGATGCTGTACGTGCCATGGAACCTGTATGACTCTCACTTATCAAGCTTTTGCATTTGCAAGGAAAATCCCCTTCGGAAATTTTTCAGGAAATGGTCCAAGTTTATGGTGACAAATGTCCTCGTTAATAATACTATGACATACTGGGTAAGAAAATTCAAGATGGATTCCATTCGGTGATGGATGGAGATCGTGAAGGGCGCCCATCCTTTGTGGTAACTGAAGAGAATGTATCCGTAGTGAAGAGACTGACTTTACAAAACCGACGTATAACTGTTAATTAAACAGCTCTCAAGTGAAACGGGAATCAGTGTAGGGTCAATTGAAACGATTCTCCATGACCATCTTAACATGAATAAGGTGTCAGTGCGGTGCGTACCCCCGCCTTTTGACAAGTGAGCAAAGAAGCAGAGGGTTGCGTCCTGTAAAAATCTCTTTCGAATTGAGTCCACTGACACATTTTAAAAAAATAAAAAATATGGTGACTATGGATGAAACATGGATTTATAATTTTGATCCAGAACCCAAAAAAATGTCTTCCATGCAACGGAAAACCCCTGCTTCTCCCTCATCAAAGAAGGCAAAGGTAACACCGTCAAGTGGAAAGGTCATATGTCGTGTTTCTGGGATTGTGAAGGTATCATCAGAAATGACTACCTTGAAAATGCAAAAACAGTCAGAAGGGACTACTACTCGGGTTTGCTGATAAAATTACGGTACGGATTGGTGAGAAAAAAGGAGTGGGAAACTCCGCAATGGGGTCCTCCTACTGCATGACAACGCCACAGCGCACAGGGCACAACAAACAGTCCAGACAGCAGAACAGTGCGGCTTTGAAATCCTGCCACACCGAGCTTATTAACCAGACCCAGCCCCTTCTGACCTTTTCCCGTTTCCTAATCTTAAAAAATCACTGAAAGGACGTCGTTTCCATGACAACGAGGACGCTATTTAAGCTGTGAAAGACTGGTTAGGGACCCACTCTGGGTCATATTTTTCTCAAGGACTTCCGAAAGTTAAATAGGGGTGGCTGAAATGTGTTAGTCTGCATGGTAACTATATATAGAGATAAATGAAAGTATGTGTGCCAGGTTATAAAGCTCTATCTTTATTCCTTCATATTTAGATCAAAGACTTCGTACACACTGATAAAAGACATATATCAAAATAGGTCTCAGACTTAGTAGCTGGGTAGGTTACACCCGTACACCCTGAATGAATAGAAGATTGTAGTAAGATTTATATATAATAGAAATGTATGTGGATGATGAGTTGTATTTAGGTCACTGGGATTACCATTGTTGGCTGCAATAACTTGATCAGCCCAGACGTCAACCCTACACTGATTGTTGACAGGTCTACGACCGCACGTTGTCAAGAATGCATAACCCGCGGGGGTAGCCAACACTGCAGTGCTCTATCCGGAGACGTCTCCGACGGAGATACACCAATCAAAATGCTTTGTGCCTCTGGACCAAGTAAAACAAAATATGGGAGGTTACTGACGGGGAGGGGCATTCCCCACTGTTTTCAGTTAGTACTGTTTTCAGCTAGTTTTAACCCAGAATTTTGATATTTTGCCATTAGGTTTGACATTTTCTTGAAAGTATTTGATTTGCGAGAGTTTTAGTTTAGTGGCGACATGTGTGATTTGCAGCAAATAGTACGCAGTTTGACCCCCAAAGCAGTGCAACTGTGTGCGGGAGTACGTCTCCGAAAAGTTCCTCGTTGCTCGCCGGAGGCGTCTCCGAATCACCTCTGCCAACAATCAGAGTTTGCTGCCAGGTCTATGAATAAAGACAGATGTTTGGGATCCGCCATGGCCGTGGGAGCTGTCTGATTTTGGCACGCAGTGAAAGGGATGGAAAAGGAGGAAAAGGGGAGGGGGGTGAAGTGGGGTGGTGGGGTTTGATGGGGAGCTATCACTATCAGAGCCCAAACTATAGCAAGTTTAGTTATATAATAATAATAATAATAATAGTAATAATAATAATTGCATAGTTATAGCGCTATCAGACAAACATGCGAGTCGGTTATAGCGGAATATTGCTGCTGCTGTGAACAGTGGATAGGCCAATTATACATCATGCAAACCCTCGCCAATAAAGAAACTTGTTGGTTATCTTACGAAACAAAGAATAGGACAGCCCATGTGCGTCAACAATGAAGGCCGGAGCAACTGAGTAGGGAGGGTGTGGCATACGCAGACAAGCAGAACGCATCGCGTGATAGGCCAGCGTAAGCCTAGTTCAGATTATCAAGGCCTACCATGCCTCTCACTTCTCCGATGCGGAGATGGAGAGGTCTCATCAATGTGATGGACGGAGCGAATGTGTGACGTGCGCAAGCAGACAGAATGCATCACAGGGTGGGGTGGGGTGGGGGAAAACACAGCGGGGGAGTTAGCCCAGGGCCCTTTCCTTCTGATCGCCAACGCTGAGCTGTCAGTCCACATCGCTAAAGAAAGAAACCTGATTCAATTTTTGATCCAGTAAGACCAAGAGGTCTTGTTGACAAAATCATCATAAGGGGAGATAGCAAAAGGAAATAAACAGAACACCAAACTCATAGATAAGGCCTTCTTTACAGTTTCCCTTGAATTTATTACTGGATCCCTTATAGCGAGAATCCTGCTATAACGGACATTTTGCTCCGGTCCCCTCCCTCTCGTTATAACAGGATTCCACTGTATTGACACTGGCAGGCCTCTTGTGTGCGATTCCATATATAATACAATGTAATTTACTTGACCGAACATCCTATATTTTTACTTGAATTACACGCTTAGGGTTAAAACTGCCTATCCGAAGACTCGCGCCCTTATTTGTTATTTTTTTGTGGTTTGTTAATGAATTGTTCTAATTTTTATTTCATGCTGATGTGAAATCTTGATTTTTCCCCTTTTTACATCCTGTGTGACTACAAATGATATTCTGGATGCTTAAAACAGAGCACAAGAAATTCTGGGGCTTTAGATTTAGTTACCTCTATACATGTATCAACGTATTGCTATGTGCGTCGTCACAAGAGTTGAAAGCTGGAAAACTAATGGCAACCTTTTTTGAGGCAAATTTTGGACCAAAAAATGGCAACAAACGCAGAGATGCTAGCTTTGTTCGGTCGTGACCAAATCCAGGTACACATGCACACACACACACTCATATAATTAAATACATAATATATATAATATACAGGCAAAAGAAGGAGAGATACGAACGATAGATGTTTGATAGGAAAGAAGGAGCAGAGCACCCACCAACCACCCACAGTAAAAGAAAACAAAGTACATGAGGTGTAGTCGGAAGAAACAAGTATGATGGAGAGACAGAAACAAGTATGATGGAGAGACAGAAACAAGTATGATGGAGAGACAGAAACAAGTATGATGGAGAGACAGAAACAAGTATGATGGAGAGACAGTACAAGTATGATGGAGAGACAGAAACAAGTATGATGGAGAGACAGAAACAAGTATGATGGAGAGACAGCACAAGTATGATGGAGAGACAGAAACAAGTATGATGGAGAGACAGAAACAAGTATGATGGAGAGACAGAAACAACTATGATGGAGAGACAGAAACAACTGACAGGCAGCAAAGAAAGAGTTCTAGCCAAGTGGGGGCCGGCCTCAAGCCACCCACAAAGCAAAGACACACACACATACACTACACAAGAGTCAAAACAAAAAACAGAAATACATAGTAAAACATTACCCCCCCCCCCCCCCATTTTTTACACAAGCAAACTTTTTATTATAAATTTGTGGGTGGTTGGCAGGTGCTCTGGTGCGGTCTGCTTCTTCTTTCCTATCAAACATCTCTCGTCCTTATCTCCCCTTCTTCTGTTTTATGTTTGTTATTCTCTTGTTGTAGTTGTAGCACGTCTATTCTTCTGGCGCTCATATATGACCTTATGCAGTTGTGAGCGCCGTAAAAAACCCTCTACTAAAACAAACCAAAAACTTTTTATTTACTTACAATGGATTCCAATAAATGATTGCTTTAATTTTAAGGATAAGCGGCCTAACCCAGATTTTGGGGGTTTCCAGAAATCTTGACCTACACCAAAAGTGGGCATTGCCCAACCAAAAGGACAAGTTTGGTTTCATTGGTGTGCATATTTGTTTGGCTTGGGGCTGTTCAAATATAATCTTACACCTTTTGGGGGACTTTTTGACCCCCACCCCCCCCCTTTCTAACACTTTTCTTACATTTGTGATTGAAGGAGGTGGGATCACCTGATCTCAGAGGTAAAATTCGTGAGAAAACGGCCGCCAAAGTTTGATAACTTCAATAGCTTGAGAGCCTTTTAAACTGAAAAATCACAAATTTTGGGCATGTCATGTAATGAACGTTTTTCAGTATGGATTAAAAAGTTTAACGCGAAAAAAAAATTCAATAAAAGTTCCCAAACCTGTGGAAAAATGCCAGGTTTTTTTTCTCACTTTCATAATTTTGACGAGCGCCTGATTTCACCACGCTGCCTCACAATTAGAGTAAATCATTCAAGGAAATTATTGCAAACACACTCTTTCTTACTAATAATAAGGAAAAAAAATTGAGACTCACGTATGACAAAAGCGCTTTAATTAAAAAACAAAACAAGTTACAGTGGAATTCTGATAAAGTCAACACCCCGGACAGAAAAAAAGGGGATGACTTTGAGCAAGGTTGACTTTATCCATTGTACTACTGCCATTAAAAATTGAAGATGACAGCTACAAAATGACAAAGTACCTCGTAATAAACAAGATGTAATCTCAATTTCAGGGAGTATAATTCTGAAGTTGTCACCAAAACAAGAGATAA